GGGAAAGAGCTGGATGGGGAAAACCATCAACCATGATGATATATACTAACTGTGCTTAGAGCAGATCTTTACCTCCTCAGAGAGATAGGTAAGAAATTCCTATACAGAGATCATATCACCTATCTCTGCCATGCACCTACTTCAGAGGGAAGAGGCAGCGTGCAGCAGCATTTTACCAGTGCCTGGTAGCTCCATTCTGTAGCTTGAAGGGAAATGAAAATGTAAGAGGGAGGAAAAAAAATGTTATGCAGTTGGAGAGAAAAAAAAAACACATGTACATAGTGATTAAGATAACAAAAACCATTTTGTTCATGTGAATTGTGGTGCAAATCATTCAGCAAAGCACCAAGGACAGGGTATTCTGAATGATTCTTCTCCTTTCAGGCCTTACACGTTTGTATATAGCATTACACTTGTAGGTGGGAGAGTGGGTAGGTGGACTGCTCTATGAAGAGGAGAAAAATAGTTGATCATAAGCCCTAATGTTCCTAAAGGAAGCCACTCCTCTGGAACTTCATCTACAGCTTGCTACTCAGAACAGAATTATTCTGAGGAGTTTGGATATGACTTTTTAAAGCTATGGCATTTAAACTATTGTCTTCCTATGGACTTTTAAAAGCTGCTCCTAACTCTATACTGTCTCATCTCTTAAATGACCTGGCAGCAGATTTGATTCGTTTGTTGGCCTTGCTGAAGGCTGATGACTTCTACTGAGTATTTGGCATGGGGACATTAGGGAATTGCAGGGAGAATAAAAATAGCTCGTGATAGACTATCCAGAGGGAAAAAGGTAATGATCCTTAGAGCAAGGCTGAAAAGAGAGGAGGGGTCTGAGACCTGCAACAAGTGAAAAGGGTTGAGCCAAGAGAAGAGAGCAGGGTGTTTCACTATATATCAGCCAGCATGTCAGACATACTAAGGTTTCATTATTTAACTCTGTCTTCAGCAAGTGAAGAAAGACGCTGACCCTTATTTTGAGTATTGAGAGCAGACTGTGTGCTATAATTCCTGCCAATGTTTTGGTTGCAAGATTATGGTCGTGAGGTTGTCAGGTTTTGTATGCGACTTCACTGCTTGATGTTGGGAAAAGATATAATCTCCAAACCAACACACAAAACTAATTAAAATGGGAAAAGAAAAACAAGCCCCAACCCCAAATCCTCTTTCTGTCTACCTGCCTCCAGCATCCTTTCCTACCTCATTTGCTCTGTGAGCATTGGGTGAGCAAAGGCAAGGACCCTGTGCTTTGTATTCACTTTCACATAGGAAAGGGATGAGAAATAGCAGGATATTGGCTAAGACAGGAACGTGCAGTAGTGAAGGGCAGCTACTGCAAAGAGTGGAAGGAAGGAACTGTGCCTCGGTGTTGTGTTTGGCCCTTAAGATGGGTTAGGAGCAAAGTGGTGATGAAGTCAGTGCTGTGGGATCCAGGTACCTGTATAGCCTGTCAGGTTTCTCTCTGGAAGCATTACAGCATCACTCTAAAATGCCTTCTAAGCACCATTCTGAGGGCATCACTGTGACTTGCAGGTTGCCCAGGGCTTTTAGTAGACCTGGCACAAGGGGCAATTTGGCCTTTAATGACTTCTGAAATGGAGCTCGTCACTAGCTGGAACCAAAATAGGTCACATCCCTATTCCCATCTGCTCCATTGTACCAGTACAAATCCACCAAAGCCCAAGGGCACTGCCAGAAATACCACATTTGTCTTTGGGGCAGATTCCTGGGGACTGCTAATAAAGAGGTACAAATGACTCACACCGGGCTTAAGCTGCTGAGTGCTGCTCAGATGATGCTCAGCCTGTTGGAGAACTGGGATCTCGCCAAGGCCAGAATTTGGCTCGTTGTTCCTGAGTTTTTCCAAACACCAACTTTTCATCAAGAATTAAATCAATCTGATGCTTGCGCACTGATGAAACACAACATGTAACTGAATGTACAATTTCCATTTTTAGCAAGTATTTTTACATAATATGAAGTTTCAGGCTGGTAGCACGTTGAGGAACTCCCATCCTATGGGTAATTAGTTTCTTCAAGTTACATGTGTCAAAGGATGGGTTAAATCAATTTACAAGCAGTAATGATAGCACTGGTGTAATCCTGCAATATAAGCAATTTATGCAAACTCTGTTGTTGGTCTCTCAGTATTTTCCTGACATTCTGCATGTGAAGCTATACTAGAGGACAGAGAGGCACCTCGGGCCAAGCAGCAAGCCAGTATCACATCCAAGTTTATGCCCAATACAGTGATTTCAAGAGAAAAGTAAAAGCTGTTCAGATTACAATTATAATTACCATATAATAGGGAGCACTGAGCTGAGCCCTTTGCTAGAAATGAGAATAAGCATGTTCAAAGGTATAATGCTACATAATAACACAGTCTTGGCAGTAAAATTGTAGCCTTGATTATTAGTAGTATTGTTGTGGCACTTAAAGGCCACCACTACATTGAGGCACCCTTTGTATTAAGTGCCACAGGAGCAGAGAGTAAGAGAGATCCCCTGTTCTGCAGGGTGTGCAGGCTATTAGAGGTTGGGGAAGGGCAGGAGGTGAGGGACTCAC